GGTGAAAATTCCCTCCTGGCCGCCTTTGATCCTCCATTACTTGGTCGCTTTGAGGGTCCCCGTTTTTCAGGACTAGTCTTTGAGGTGACATGGAAGGACAGTGCTAATTTTTAATACATTGATTTTCCCTCATAGAATCAATGACAGGCCTTCTCATTTGCTCAGGCAACCTCAGTTTATTTGTAATTCATTTGTTTAGTCATTATTACATGTATAGCCTGCCTTTTTCCCTCCAAGGAACCCAAGGCAGCTTATGTGACCCTCTTGCTCCCCATTTTATCCTCACAAAAACCCTGTGGGGAAGTTCAGGCTAAGGGTTTGTGACTGGCCCAAGCTGCTTGAGTTTCATGGCCAAGTGGATCTCCTGAGATCAGATCTCCTGAATCCCAGTCCATCACTCTAACCACTGAAACACACAGCCTCTCACATTGGCTCTCATTACTGGAAATAAGGTGGACCATATTTCTAATATTCCAAGGTATTAAGCTTCTTAAAGACTAGAAAGGCCAGTAACTCCAGTCAGTAGCAGCTTCTGGAGCCTGAATGCATGGCATAGCAATGTATTTCCTGTAAGCAGCAGTGGAGGCTCACTTTTAAGGAACTGCCCGTGGTGCTGAAGCTCGTTTGAAGATAGGGTTTAGCACCATAACCAGCACCTTTGAGGTTCAGACTGAAACCTGGGGTGGATACACATTCCTTCGGTACTGGAGCCTCAGCCTTCAATGTTAAGCAGTTCAATACCGGGAGAACTCAGAGGAAGCATTAGATCAATGCATGAGCTTTGCAGCTTTGTAAGATTGCATCATCAGCACCTGACACAATTTGTGATCTTGAATCTTCATGCTTGCACAATATTGGTGTGTGTGTGTGTGTGTGTGTGTGTGTGCAAGGATGGGATGTAGCACTTCACAGCAAACACTGAGGTTAAAGGAACAGTTCTTACCCAAAAGCTGCCAAGGGGTTCCACAAGTTGCATCTTTATAGATGTATTTGTGCCCTGCCTTTCTACAAAAAAGTGGCATTCAGGGAGGCATACAATAATACATAAAACTTGATTAAGGCGATGATAAAGCAATGCATCAAAATACATGGAAAACAGCAGTAACAAAATTGCTTGCAAGAAAAAGCCCTGCCTGCCTAACCTTGGAAGCTAAGCAGGATCAGGCCAGGTTGAAATCTGGATGGGTGACTTAAAATGTGAACCACCCAGAGAGCTTTGGCTGTGGGCAGAAGAGAAATGTGATGCAATAATAATAAATGGATAGGCCTCTCCCTGCCAGCAGAAGGAGAAGAAGTGAACCGGGCCCCCCCAGGAGGAAGTTCCACAGCTCAGGAGCAGCCAGGGGAAATGCCCTCTTTCACATCAGCAGATGTGCCTCCACAGGCAGCAGTCCTGGAAGATGGGCCTTGTCCAAAGATCTCAAGACCCCAGCAGGCTTCCTGAGGAGAAGGTGGTCTTCAGCCAGCCTAGCTCCAAGTTGCTGGGATCCTGAGGTCATAATGGAGTGTGTGACCTGAGAGGGGGACCCTGAGGAATCCCATAGTCCCTGGCATGTCTTCCTAGGGCCACAGGATTGCTCTCTCCATGTCTTTGCTTTACTCCTTTTCCTGTCCTTCCATGTTGCTTCTCATCTGTAATCACTGAGGGTGCTTCCAGATGAGGCTTCCATTGTGAAATTGCCACACCTCAGTCATGGACTTGGGTGAGGGAATCAGATGTTATTGTTCTTCACTCAGCCTTCCTATTTTTGCCACCACGTCTTTATTTTTCTTTTAACATAGAAAAATGTAATAAGAAGGAAGAGAAGATAGTTGCAAGTATTCTGACTGATAGTGTAAGAAGTATCCATCTGGAAAAAAACCAGTGAATGAGGAAGGGTGAAAACTAATAGACAGATCACTAGGGACAAGAGAAAATAGCTCAGTTTGCATCATTTTTCACTTTCAAGCAAATACGGTGGTACCTTGGCTCACGAACTTAATCTGTTCCACGACTCTGGTTGTGACCCAAATTGGTTGTGACCCAAGTCAAATTTCCCCATGAGATTCAATGTAAGTAAGGTCAATCTGTTGTGTAACTATTTTTTTTATCAGAAATTTTGAAGCAAAGTGACAAAGAACAACAAAGTCACAAAGTACTGTACAGTACAGTGGAGAACACTAACCTAGGTGGCAGGGGGAGATTAGTGTTTTGAGGGAGAGTCCCCTTCCATAAGGACTCTCCACAGGGAGATCCCTTTCAGGGGTTTCCTCTCTTCTTTGTCTCTTAGCTGCAGGGTCAATACTGGTGAAAAATCTGTGCATAGTCACTTGTTTTTCCCCGTGCTGCATAACCCTCCGGAAATGAGAGGCCACGTTATCGTTCATCAGATTCAACACTCTGTTTGTTAGTTATGCTGAGGTGGTGCTTCTCAAAGAAATCCTGGCACGGGCGCACTCCTGCAGGAAAGACGGGCGCTATCTTGGCCATCTCCCCCACCCCAAACAGCACGATCGCGGCCATCTCCCCACCTCACTCCCCCAAGCGGGGAGATGGCCACGATCGCAGCTGCGTTCGTGCAGGGAAGATATGCGTGATCACGGGCACACTGCTGCAGGAAAGACGGGCGCAGCACAGCTTTGCTGCCGGGGAGATGGCCAGGATTGCACCCGTCTTTCCTGCAGGAGTGCGCCTGTGATCACGCACGTCTTCCCTGCACGAATGCAACTGCGATCTTGGCCATCTCCCCACTCAGGGGCAGGGGGAGATGGCTGCGATCTTGGTCGCCACCCAATGCGGAGTTCACAACCCAAGTCAAAATTTTCATGAAATTTTTGTTCATGACCTGATTTGGTTGTGAACCAAGGCATTTGTGAGCCAAGGTAGCACTGTACAAGAACCAGAATTCTGGTATATTTTGAAATTAGCAGTTCTAATTTGACAATGGAGCTCTCCAGTCAAAACAAATGTGTACAGACATTTGTGGACTATGGAAAATGCATACAAATATATATATATATCATTGAAAATAACAAGAATCATAGAATAGTAGAGTTGGAAGGGGCCATGAAGGCCATCAAGTCCAATCCCCTGCTGTTGCAGGACACCATGTTACACCATCCCACTCAGATGGCTGTCCAGGTTCTTTCTGAGTGTCTCCCCTGTGGGAGAGCCCACCACTTCTCCTGGTAGCTGGTCCCACTGCCGTATTGCTCTGACAGTGGGGAGCTTTTCCTAATGTCCAGCCTGAATCTGGGTTGTTGTAACTTGAATTGATTATTCTGTATGCATTACATTCAGAAAATTGCTGTAAAATCAGCTTATTAGGCAAATAGCGTATAAAATGTGTGCATTCTGAGAAATTTTCACAGAAATGCAAGTACATGTTCTTGAGAGTGCTGCTTAAAGATTGGGACAAACTGAATTTAGGACTAGAGAAAAGAGGAACTGGGAGCAACTGAAATGGACAGATTTAATCATCCCCACTAAAGCAGAAGCAACTCCAGCCATTCTGCTAGAAAAGATCATAGATCATTTTCAGAAGACCCAAAGTGCTCATCTCCACAATACCTACCTGTGCAACAGTATTCAGAGCTCTTTGGTAGCATTAATTGAGCCACTGTTAATTGAGGGTTTGGGCTTGTATTCCCTAAACTTGAGCTGCTGCCCCTTGGGTGATGCAAGAAGCATTGACACACCCAACTAAGTTGCTTTCTGACACCGAGGAAATAAATGAAAGAGGTTGGACAGTGTTACTGGAGCAAATTTATAGTGACTCAACCAAAGAGCAAAGACCATTTTCAGGGAACAATTGATAAGCTGGAAACTCTCGTGGCAATACTCAAGACCTGCCATGATGAAAGCAGGTAAACGACTTTTTAAAATCAGAACTGATGTTCTGCATGTCCCTTCCCAAAGAGAGGTGATGCTTTTTTGACTTTGCAAATGCAAGAGGGTTGCTGTTGTGAGGATAAGAAAGAGCTATGGTTCCATACCTTGGGTTCCACACAGGAGGAAAAAGGGCAGGATAAAAATGCAACCACCTATTGGGAGAATCATCACATTTTTGCTCACTTGATGAAAGCCAATCCATTCAATGTATTAGCACAGCCTCTGAGGACAAGAACAATTGAGCGCCAGAATCCTTTGTATGTTTGCTCAGATATAAGCCCCATTATTTTTTATCAAGGTTAACTCTGACATAGATGCACAGAGGATTTCAACCTAAATGATGTGTTTATACCTTCATTTTGGGAACAATCAACATTATTAGGCAGTTAAAAAGGATTTTTTAATGCTTTGTTCCCTTTGTTGGGAAAGAAGGTATATGATTGATAGTTAATGTAACATTGTTTTTCATAATTTTTAACAGAGTTTGTTACAAGCTTTGTGCCGTCTACACGATAAGAAAATTTAAAGGAACACTTCCTTTGAACTTTATACAAGGCAAGACAACTAAGACGGCTCTTCAGTGAAAAACGTGGGACAAGACACACTTTGAAAGCAAGTACTGTGTGGGTTTTGTGAAAGATTTTTCCCCCTCAGGGAAAACCCTTGGGACTGTGAGGCACTCTGAAGGAAGATCTTCAAGTTGATTTAATGGGGATTAAAATAGCAATTGCAGTTCAGTATAAGCAAGGCTAATGCAATGCAGGTGCGTGCAAAAAATCACCACTTTCTAGTATATGCTGCTGGGATATGAACTAACAAGAATGAATCTTGGGGTTGTGGTTCGCAGCTGGGGGTTGTGGTTCGCAGGGCCTTCCACTATAGAATAGGAGCCCTAGAATGAGGAAGCATGTGTTGATTTTGTTGCCACGCACTAGCCCAGCTCCCCTGCTAGAAACTGCTACTTCACAGGGTTGTTGTGCGGATCAAAGTCACTGGGCTCTGCATGCCTCCCTAGGCTCTTTCGAAGAAAGCCAGGAGCAGTGGTGAACTGGGTGACAGAAGGGAATCTGTAAAAAGGACACGGGTATTGTGGGATGGTTTCTCTCTGAACCTTCTGGCTACCTTTCAGATCTAAGAAGGGCAGATGAGGAGGAAATGGAAAATGCCACCTCAGGGACACAGTTTGTTCTCCTGGGCTTCCTGAGCCACACAAAGCTAGCAACCATCTCTTTTGCTCTCATCCTAGCCATGTTCATTGTCACTCTACTGGGAAACAGCCTCCTCCTGATGGTAACCCAAGTGGATGTAAGTCTGCAAACTCCTATGTACTTCTTCCTCGGTCAACTGTCCTTTGTGGATATGTGCCAAGTCCTTGTTATCGTTCCCAAAGCAGCAAAGGATTTTGTAACACAGCAGAAAACCATTTCACTTATGAGATGCGCGGCCCAAATTTTCCTCACCCTGAATCTGGGAGGAGCAGAATGCCTGCTGTTGGCAGTCATGTCGTATGACCGGTATGTCGCCATTTGCCAGCCCCTGAACTATCTGGTCCTCATGAGGAAGAAAATCTGTGTAGTCCTGTCAGCAGGAGCATGGATTTTATCTTTTCATTATGCACTGATAAAAGCTGTTTATTTGCTGCCTCTCACATACTGTGGATCAAACATGATAAACCATTTTTTCTGTGAATTCGACACTGTGATAGGATATTCCTGTTCAGATACATCCACCTTTGAGAAAGTGTCGCTCCTCCTCGGTAGCTCCTTACTGCTGCTTTTCCCCTTCTCAGTCATCGTGACCTCCTACATCGCCATCCTCTTGCAAATTTTGAGGGCAAGGCGTTCAGGTGAAAGAAGCCACAAAGCATTGGGCACCTGTTTGTCCCACCTGTGCGTGGTAGGCATCTTCTACGGGTCAGCCATCCTGAGGCACCTAAAGCTAAGATCCTACTACTCAGGGGAGATGAGCCAGATTTTTTCCCTATTCTGTACCATTTTCACATCCACAGTGAATCCCTTCATATATAGCCTGAGAAATCGGGATGTAGTAGCAGCACTCAGAAAACTCTGTAGAAGCTGAAGCTGCTTACATAAAAAACTCCCCTGCTGAGGAGGCAATTGAACTACTGAAGCCAGCACCCTTGTTCCCCACAGTGGCCAACTGTCCCAACTGCCCCTGGGCAGCCCGCGAGAGGGCAACTCTGCTCCCCTCTCCTCCAGCAGCATATTTGCCTCTCATTCTGGGCAGTCCACTCTTGATCACAATTTCTCCAGCTCCCGTCTTCCAGAAGGAACGTGGACTCAGACACAAACCATCCTCAAAATGTGTACATTTCTGAGCTTGCAGTGTGATTCACAGCCATTAAGTGTGTGGCAGCATGCCTGACATTTCAGAGAGGGGCATTAGAAGGCATACTTTTGAAAAACATGCACAAAGCTACTTTAATCAATTGAAGAATGAGTATATTTCTAAGATGTACACAATGAATGCATGCGGTTGGAAAGATACGTGAAAATCTCTGTGTGTTTTTATGCATCTTTCAATGGTGTGTAACACCCTGCCATCCAAAGTTCATAATCTGAGACGGACTCAGGTTGGACCAAGCTTCAAGACAGAATTTGAAGAACTTGGGCAAGTTCAAGTTTTGCTAGTTTGCAGACGCCCGCTAGGCACTGATGGTTTTGTCTTCCATGAATTTGTCAATGAAATTAGTGGCCATCACCACACCTGGTGCCCTAAAAATCCGTAGGTCAACTGAGTGAAGAAATATTTCATCTTGAATATAGCCTTCCTATCACAATTTCATGGGGAAAGTATCACATGATGCAATGTTAGTACTTTAGTTTAAAAGAGGTACACATGAAAAAGTTTCTAAAATCACAAAAAATCCAATTCACTTACCTATGTCATGCATGTGTAATTATAAAGTACATCCAAGTGCTATTATATATACACAGAAATATTTATTCTTGATAGCAGGACTTGTTCTTATTTCAGTGTAACCACTGCGCCCAATCATCTAAAATTAAATTTTAGTAACAATGGTCCAGATTTTTTCTGTATTGCTTTTAATTATCATATCCACATGGAAACACTTCAGATGCAGATACGATGACCATTTGCATTAACAGAAATGGAAACATTGCTTAAACAATTTCACATTTCAATAAGCATTCTGTTTATTTTGTCTATTAATTTTGATGAAAATATTATTGCTTATTTGGCAAAAATGCTGTAAACTCAAGACAGAAAGTTAGAAACCAGTTTGTTCAGTTACACACTTAGTGTGAAATGTTTTCACTGACCATTATATAGGTATTTGTTTGCTTGCGTGGACATTTGTTTGCGTGGACATTTTCTTGACTTGCTGGCATTGCCAACTACCCTCGGCAATTGTGAGGCATTTTATTACTTGATTTTATTGTTCTTGCTGTTTTCCTTATAATTTTTTTACAAATTGGGTTTCTCAGTTCAGGACAGTTTCAATGTTTCAACCTTAACACACACACATATATCTGTAGTTGCAAAATCACCTGGCTGGAACCTGTATCAGTAATTGATAAATGGTATGCAGCTTTTTTGGAATGCCTGGATGATTTCATTTTCCCTTCCATAATAACATAGTATTTTACTCGTCAGCAGAATAGTCCTTATCCTTGTTTTCCATTGTACTAGAGATGGAATGGAATCCATTCCCTTATGCGAATTCTGCCAACTTGCCTTCTTCCAGAATTGAGCATCTCTGCTCAGTTTGGATTCCCTCTAAGCACGAGACCGATGGTGCATATGCAGAACTGGTGGCGGTAACAAGATTTGGGGCGGGGGACTGTTACAGCTGTTACCATATAACTCATTATCACCACAAAATCTCAAGGGTTCTTATCTATAGTATCACCGAGTAGTGTTGGTGTTGGGACTAAAAACAAAGCAAAGATCCCCCACCCCTTGTGTTCAGTTTTTGCCTTTGATTATGTTTGTACTTGTGAGTGACTTTGGGATTTATTCATTTTCAGTGTAAAGCAATACTGAAATGATCCGAAGTGGTAATAATGAAATAACTGCATTATTTTCAAGGGGCTGCTTTTGCCTTGTTTCTGTTCATCATGAGACTGATTAGAATTGTGTTATATGGAAATACATCATATGTACATCTGATTGATCTTCGGCTCAAGCAGTTTTAATTTTCCCTGCTGTTCTTTGGGCGCTTCAAGATGGAAAAGTTCTAATGCCAATAATCAGAAGGCATCGTGTAACTATTTTGTCGGAAGTGGATTTTCCAGGGATAAATAAAGATGGAAGAAGCATTGACAAAAACCTGGGAGGGTTACAAGGGGAAGATGGCATTGGGTTCCTGAGAAGCACAGGCACAAATATCTTGAATGGGAAAAGAAACCAGCAGCACTTTTTTATGAATATAGGTGAGTCAAGGCAACCTGGGTACACACGTGTATAGGCAGTAAGCAAAAAAGGAACGGCACCAAGCATAACTAGACACAAAGCTTTTATAGTATTTGATCTCCACTTCATAATTTTATCATGAACCCCCTCCAACTCCCATAGGTGCCTCTAACAATTTTATCCCTGGATAACCCACACCTGGATTTCTAGAGAGAGCTCAAAGGTCATTCTTCATCCTTTCATGCCTCAGTTGCTCTCTTCTCACCAAAACCTTCACAATTTGCAGTTGAGTTACTATCTAAATTACTCAGCCTTTTGATCCTACATGTTTCTACACTATCTCTTTTCGTATTTCTTTTATCAACAAACCAAGAAGTATTTATGGTTGTTCTCCTAACAATGGCAGTTAAAATTCCATGAATGAAGTAGGTTGATGGTCTAATGAAGGCCTCATCTGGGAGCACCCTCTGCATTTTAAGCATCCATTCACTTTTTATGGAGGATCCAGATGGCAGCATTTATTAGCATCACTTGTGGGAACAGGGCCTCTCTCTCCCGAAGTTTATCATCTCTGCATCAGCCCTGGAAGAAGAGGTGGCACTGGCATTCTTAGCTGAAAAGCCAAGGAAGTGAGGCTCCAAGAGAAACCAAGAGCTGGTGAAAGTCCTCTATTGAACAGACAGAAGTAGAGGGAGTGGGTCTAATATAATTATAAAGCCCAGAATGAGGGTTGTGGGGAACTTCCTGTTTTAATTCTTCTTCCCAATGTTTGTGTAAAAGTAATACCCAAAAACACTGAAGTGCTCTCAGGTGCATTAAACCTGGGTGAGAAAGAAGAGGTGGACAGTGCATCCTGTTAGAGTTGTCCTAATAAAAGTTATACATTTTATGTTTTGGAGTATAGAAACCTTTGCCTGTCTTCCTTCACCCCAATCTGCAGGGTTTTTTTCCATTCTGGTTCCTTCTACTAGAAAAAGGAGAACAAGCCCCAGGTTATGTGAATGATTCACCTGCTGGCTGAGTTGCAGAGCAGTGCCAGCAGGAAAATTGAAACATTGGTGCAAGTTTGAATCCACAAAATGTATCTCTTGCTAATCAGATGGAGCGCACATGCATCTCTTCTTGTCCCATCAACAAAATGGAAACTGTGGCAGCTTTGATCCCCACAGCTCTGCTCTCCACTGCAATTCAAAATACCTGCCCAGCTCACACTTTGTCTTAAAGAAATTTCCTACCTCTGACTGTAAAAAGCAAACATTGAAACCTGTTAAGTTCTGTAACTTCTGATAATTTTATTTTTTAATCTGTTATTCAAGCCCTCACTGTGTCATGATGTTTTCCTGATGTCTCTGATGATTTTGGGATATTTCTGTATTGTAATTTTGTGCTTCTATATTGTTCTTGCGTATCGCCCATCCTTCCCCCTCCTTGAGGGGGTCCTGATCCAAAACAGGACTGCAGGTGGCAGTGGCAGAAAGTTAAAGACCCCCTACATAAGCCAGGCTCCCGATTCAGATTTCTACCTTCTACTGTGCTTACAATTTGCTCTCCTTTTCCTCTTTGGGCATCCACACTATTGCTAATTGCACAAACGGCATCTTGTGTAGGATTCCTTTGTCTGCTTGGCCTTCTGGTGACAGCAGACTAGCAGCTTACCCAAGAGCAGAACTGGAATTGGCACCCACAGTTGCCGGATCGTGGAGGTGGGGAAGAGCTGCGCAGGCATGCCACGGACGGGCCATTTTGGGAGGCTTTCACTCACAGGGTCCCCACAAGACAGAGATGAACTGGCAGCCCATAAGCGCAGCAGTTAAGGTGAGACTAGAGCAATTTGGAGGCAATGACATCCTCTAAGTATCTGTTTTCTTTTGAGCTATGCCAACCTATAATGATGAAAGTAGCCACCTGTTCTCATATGCGACTTGAAAGGGAAGCATGACTTTCTGTGATTCCCCAATCATCCCTGATGGTCACTTTGCCGTAGTTTTTGCAATGACAATCAATGCATGGTATTGGTGTTACTGTTTGCCATCAAGTCTTCTCCAGCTCATGGTGACCCTAAGAGTGAATGTCCTCTCCTCTAAAAGGCTGGCAGGGGTGGGGTGGGGTGGGTTCCTATCTTTGATAGCCGTGCTCCTGTAAGCTCAAGGCTGTGGCTTCTTTGATGGACAATCCATTTCATACTTGGTCTTCCTTTTCTTCTTCTGTCTTCTTCAAAGGAGGGGAAAGACATCATTGGATGCAAACCCAATGAGATGCATCTCTTCAGGTGTAAACCATTACACAGTGTAGCTCTATCTCCTAGCTATGCTCATGTCCTAGGCCAGGGGTTGGCAACCTTTAGCACTCAAGGAACCATTTGGACCCATTTCCCACAGAAAAGAAAACACTGGGAGCCACAAAACCCCTTTGACATCTAAAATGAAGAGAGCCAGTGTGGTGTAGTGGTTAAGAGCATGGGACTGGGACTCAGACGATCTGGGTTCGAGTCCCCGCTCAGCCATGGAGCTAACTGGGTGACTTTGGGCCAGTCACAGACTCTCAGCCCAACCTACCTCACAGGGTTTTTGTTGTGGGGATAAGATGGAGGAGGAGGAGGAGGATGTAAGCTGCCTTGAGCCCTTTGTAGGAAATAGGCAGGATATAAATCGCAATATAAATAAATAAATATAAATAAATAT